TTTCTGCTTATGTGGTGCTGAGGAATCGAACCCAGGGCCTCAGGCATGCAAGGCAAGCACTCTACCACTGAGCCACCTTCCCAGCCCCTGACACGTCCTCTATCTGGGCGCGCGCATGTACGTGTACACACACACACACACACACACACACACACACACACCACTCAGAGGTTCTCACAGAGTTGACCTTGTCCCCTGCCAGTCTCCTTGGTCACCTAGCAAGATGCGGCTGTCCTGTTTACTCAAGCATGGGCTGTCTTATTTGTTACACACCCGGCTCCCTGCCCCATGAGTCACTAAGCTTCCTCCTTCCTCCCCATGGGCCACTTTTATGTCCTTGGCAGCAGGACACACTGCCTCCCAGGCTGCCCTGCGCTCATCTCTCCTCTTTCTCCCACTTAAAAATGTTTTTTCCTGCCAGGTACCAGTGACCAGTGGCTCATACCTGTAATCCTAGGTACTCAGGAGGCTGAGGTCTGAGGGTAGCACTTCAAAGCTAGTCTGGACAGGAAAGTCTGTGAGACTTTGATCTCCAAAGAACCACCAAAATGCTGGACGTGGAGCTGTGGCTCAAGTGGTAGAGTGCCTGCCTTGAGTGAAAAAGCTCAGGAACAGCGAGCACCCAGGCCCTGAGTTCAAACCCCAGGGCTGGCACAAAGAAACAAAACAAAAAGAACTGCTGGTCACTCATTACTTGACTCCCTCCCCTCAGAACTCCCCGCGCTCCTCCTTGAATTTTATTTTCAGAATATCTGGTGCCTCAGACCCCGAGGCCTGGGGCGGGGGTCCTCAGCAGTCAGGACAGCCTTGCTTTCCCAGGTTCTGCAAGTGTTGCCTTATTAACTTCACCTGCTTTCAATTCTCCAAAATGATCTCAGCAGACACCTTGAAAAACTCTGGTGCTTAGAGGCACAGGCAGCAAAGAAGCTTATGTGTGTCTTTCCCCAAAAGTCTCACTGTCTATAGTCTTTCTCCATCATTGACATCCCTGTCTTCTTCAAAGGGAAAAATGAGACTCCTCTTTCTTTCCCTGCTAACCAGGGATTTTACCATGGACAATAAGGCCAGCGAGAGGGCTGGCCACTGGGTAAACTTGAGATTTGTGAACATGATCAATCAAGATCTGGTGTGTTCCCAAGTGTGAATGCCCTAAGCAATCCTGGAGGGGAGCGTGCAGGCTGGCACTGCCCCAAAGAATGCAGGAGCGGAGAGCTAAAGACTGGCAAGGGAAGAGGTCAGCATGTGTACAGCCACTGGCCCCGGTGTCTAGAGTAGGGGGTCTTCATCCTCCAGCTTCTGCCCTGCTTTTTGAACATTTTTTTTTGTCAGTTATGGGGCTTGAACTCGGGCCTGGATGCTGTCCTTGAGCTCTTCAGCTCAAGGTGAGCACTCTACCACTTGAGCCACAGTGCCACTTCTGGTTTCCTGGTGGTTTATTGGAGATAAGAGTCTCACAGGCCAGGCGCTGGTGGCTCACGCCTGTAATCCTAGCTACTCAGGAGGCTGAGATCTGAGGATCGCGGTTCAAAGCCAGCCCAGGCAGGAGAGACCGTGAGACTCCTATCTCCAGTAAACCACCAGAAAACCGGAAATGGCACTGTAGCTCAAGTGGTAGAGCACTCGCCTTGAGCTGAAGAGCTGAGGGACAGCGCCCAGGCCCAGAGTTCAAGCCCCACGACCGACAAAAAAAAAAAAAAAAAAAGAGTCTCACAGATTTTCCTGCCCGGGCTGGCTTTGAACCATGATCCTCAGATCTCAGCCTCCTGAGTAGTTAGGATGACAGGTGTGAGTCACTGGTTTGGACTTTTTTTTTGGGGTCCGGTCATGGGGCCTGAACTCTGGGCCTGGGCGCTATCCCTCAGCTCTTCAGCTCAAGGCTAGCGCTCTACCACTTGAGCCACAGCGCCACTTCTGGCTTTTTTCTTTTTTGTTTATGTGGTGCTGAGGAATCGAACCTAGGACCTCATGCATGCAAGGCAAGCGTTCTACCACTGAGCCACCTTCCCAGCCCCTAGACTTTTTAAAATTTAAGTAGTTGTACAAAGGGTTTTCAGTTCAACAAGTCGGATGATGAGTCCAGGGCGTTGATCCAGGGGGTCCCTCTGCCCTCCGTGCTGAGCTGGCTGTGCCACATTGGGAGAAAGCTTTCTTCTCAGCCCATTTCTGCATCTAGCACACCATGCCTGAGACTGGGCCTTTCATAAAGAAAGGCCACTCATTTCTCACTGTTCTGGAGACTGGGAAGTCTGACACTTGAGCAGTTGTTTTGTCCTAAGGCAGAAGGACAGAGGAGCC